TGTAAACAGGTGGTATTGGCAGAACATGAGCCCTAAGCTGTCCATCTGGAAGGGCCGAAGGGGCTGCCCGAAGCAGCAAAAGAGGGAGAGGTAGTAGGGTACCAGCCGACAGTAGTTGGGTACCAGCCGACGCGACCGCAGAGAAAATGGGAGAAAGGGCCAAAGGCCCCAGTGCTGACTCAACCAACCCTCCTATCACCATATTACCACGTCTCGCATGTAGTACCTTGTTCTCCGAGAGATAGCGTCACTTAGTGGAAGGGATCCTACCAGCGGTATGAAGGTGGAAGGGCAAGGTGAGGAAGGCAACCAGACTTGAACCGAGCGACTAGGAGGATATGGCCAAATCTCACCCGGAGACAGACCCCAAAATTACTAGCCGAGGTGTTCCCCAATGGAGATCGTGCAAGTGGGGAGAAGGACATCCACCACTGCCAGTACCGCCAGGAAGCGAAGAGAGGAAGCTGACCATGCTAAAGCTTAGCGAGCCCCTATTAACAAGACAGGACTACTGGGCGAGCCCAGTAACTCCCCCATCAAGCAGACAAGAGACGAGCGAGGCCAAAGCGGGAGAGGATGGAGGAGTTAACCGTGCTCCTAGGCAGGAACCATCGAGGGGGCAGAGGGGACTAAGGGGGGCCCACGATAGTTGACGTGATGTTGCCAAACTATGTGGGAGAAAAATAGGAGTGACAGAGCGTGGTGTACCGGAGGTTCCTGAACCTCACTATTTATACAGACACCTCACCTAAACCTAACCCTGAGTGACTCATATCTTTCCATCACTATATCCTATGACTTACAATCATGAGTCAACTGTGTAACATACTTAAACCAATCATCAACCTTATAGTAAGTCATGTACGCTAAATGCATCACATGTGTGAGACTTGTGACTCATAAGTATGAGTCACCTGCAGAAGTCATAACATCACCTGACTCACAATTGTGAGTTAATGCATAATGATAAATACCAATGACGTACAAGTGCAAGTCATGTGGAAACCTTTATTCCACCTCTTCAATCTGTGTTGTCACCATCCAGTTTGTGACATCTTGAAAGTTCTTGTATCATGTGTAATAAAGGTTTCCAGTCATTGCTTCTTGGCATCATCAAATATAGGTGGATAACCCGTCCGGTATCGGTTTGAAGGTATACCTGTCTCCTGAACCCATTGATAAATCTTTCCACCTGCTAGTTACTGTGACATTTATATGTACATCCTTGTTTACCTTCTCACAGGTTCGCCTATCGATATATAGATAGTTTGCAATCTTGGTCCAACTCTACTCAGCTTCTCGTAAGTTTGTTACCTTGATGCGTTCATCACAGATCGTTTCACTGTGCTGGATACCCTGTGGGTATTGTTCACCTATTCCCTTTTGCTTCATGTCACGATATTTATGCAGTGTTTGGAGGGTGTTTGGAGGGTGTTTGGAGGGTATTTGGAGAGAGTAGTTGCAATTTACTACGGTACCTCTACTATGGTATGGTACTGTGGTACCTATGGAATAGGTGCAAGAATTGCGGGGATCGGGTCTCATTGCCACGCCCGAGATACCCCAACACCCAAGTACATTTCAGATTTTTACGCCATCTGACTACCGACGTTCCCATGTCACATACAAGTAGTTTTTCGCCGCTTTTCCACTACAGTCGCATCTGGCTATAGTGAACCTTGACATAGTGAATACCTGGCAATAATGAACGGCAAGAGCAGGAAAATTCAGATCCCATAATATTTTGTTCACTATAGCGAAAATATCTGTTATAGTGTACTGAACAGAAGATAGTGAAAGAACCGGGATAGTAAAAATCATGCCACATACAAATCATTTCGGCTATAAGAAATAAGGAAATAAGGGAGAAATATCACTTGCACCCAAGCAGACCGAAAGACCAAACGATTCCAACAGCTATATCAATATCCAACACTCAATCTCCCCAGAGCCACCAACCATTGTGTGCCGTAGAGCTTAAGGTGTCAGGGGTGACAAGGTCAGGGTGTCGGAGGGGAGGAGGTCAGGGTGTCGGAGGTGTAGATGTGGGCATCTGAGCTGACAGGCGGAGTGGTATAGTACCAGTAGGTATTTGTGCTGTTGGGGGTAGAGTTGAGGGCATTTCAATAGTTTGAATAGATGGTAGTGCCGAGCTAGAAGTTGGAGATTCCAAGTACCTAAATGGAAGTTGATAAAGAGGCGAGTTGAGAGCTTGATAGCTATCTTCAATCTGATTTGAAGCTATAGGAGAAAAGCGAAGAAGCTGAGTAGGAGGTTCCGGTGTTGGAGATAGGCTAGGGGCAATAGGTAGAATACAGGCAGTTCCTACAGACTCATTTTCCTTTCCTGATCCTGCTAGTTGAAACCAATTTGTAAGGGTAGTCTGCTTCTTCTTAGAGTTGTCGTAGAGTTGAAGGCCCTGTTGCATTTCCCAAAGCTGCTGAATGACTGTCGATATCGGAAGGGGCTGACCAGCTGTTTGCAGAGAATTTATTGGAAGATGTTCAAAGAAGTCGGTAATTTCCGTAAGGTAGGAGTTGGCTAAAGTGGTAGATATTGTTTCCGGTCGTACAGCTTCAGTCATATCGAATTCCAAGTCAGATGAGTCACTTGGATTTTGATGCAAATAGTGAACGACATCCGTAACCGATACATCCTCTAGATGAGCATCCTCATCCCCAGCATCTTCATCATAATTAAGAAAATTATCAGCAAGGGTATTTACTTGTTCAGAGTTACAGCTGGTATTAAGTAGGGAAAGAATTGAAACTTGAGTTGCTGTCCATATATGACTGATATACTCATTATAGGATGAGTGTAGATCACGATCCAAAGATTCTACCAATCCAACTTTCTGCCAACAGTGGAATATCACACCAGAAGGTAACTCATCCCATGCATTGGCTACCATGTAAATTACTTGTAAAACATCAAGGTTTGGTGCTGATTCTCCATGTTCTTCAAAGTAATCAACAATACGCTGTATAAAACAATGTCGATAACCTGCTTTTAGTGATCGAAGTATACTAGCATCTAAAGGTTGCAGCCAGGCTGTAGTATTGGGGGGCAGATAAATTAACTTGACATGGTCAAGTACCAGTGGCGGTGGTCCCAAATAGTCTGTAGGTGGACTCTCTGGTGGAGGATGTATTGGTGCATTATTGGTAATTAATGCAATTTGGCGACCTTGAACCTTCATAATTTCTTTTAAGTTTCGTAAATACTCGTACCAAGGACCAGACAGCATTCATGCCTTAGCATTGTACTTGTAGGTTATGGTTTGGTTTTCTGGATTTATCTTAGCTTGTCAAAATGCGATTGGATTTTTGGATTTATTGATCAACATCGCAAGGTGCTTATCAGATCCGTCTCTATTGACTGTAACAATAACCATAACGCGAGTTTTATTTTTCTTTGAACCACGAACTATGTTGTTTTTTCGGGCTATTGTTGTATCAGGTCTTATGTTGTATCAATTATACCAATTGTTATTATTCTTATTATTGTATATCATAAATGTTATACTTACTGGAGTGCTAATTCATCACAGTTATAAATGTCACGAACTGCAAAGTCCTTTAGTATTTCACGAATACTATCACGCATTACCGGAATGCCAAAAGCCACCAGATCATTAACAACTAAATTTCCGTGAGTTTTCACTCGTCCTAAAACATGCCTGTTTTTCATTCCTCCTAACCACCCACCAGAAAACTCGAAGCGTGAATAGTCTTCTACCATTTCCTCCTCCTGTCCAATCCATAGGCTCTCAGCAAACCATTTTGCAATAGTTATAATCACATCATCAGCAGTGATTACTCTCGCTAACTGAGCGCGGTAAACCCACTCAACTATATGGCTTTCTAAAATTGGAAACTGCTACTTTCTGGTTTTTTTTTTCCAATTATCCGAAGCATTCATATCAATGCTGAGGTAGTCTTGACTTTGCTTGAGTATAGTTGAAAGAGTCGACTTTGAAATTGGTAGACCGGTCATCGGATCTATATCACAATTCTCATTTAGTAATTTCTTCCTACTCTCATATGATAATTATAAATACCAGGAAATAATCGTGCAAACTCTTCTAGCTTTATCCTCTCATTCTCCTTCGACTCAAACCGCTTCTTACAGATCTCATATTTCTCAAGCATGGTCAATCCTCGTCTCCTCTTGTTTGATCCTCCTCTCGGATGCCCTGCTGAAGTACTGGACTCGCCGTTCTTCTGGTTTGCGCGCAACATAGTTGTATCGTTGATGAATTGATCACATCCCCACAATTACTTCCCCGCTCCTGAGATATCCTACAATTACTCCTCACAGCCAAGACTCCTTTAGTCATCTTTACTATAGTGAACACCTGGTTATAGTGAACGCTGGGGGTCCTGTTTTTGCCGTTCATTATAGCCAGATGCGACTGTACAGTACTCGAGTACCGTAGATGGGTCGTTTGAGAAAAAAGCCTCGCCTTGGCTAATTCCGAGATTAAATTTACGGTTGTCCGCTCTAATCACCATATACCTTCGTTGATCGCGAAACACACCTTTTCCAACGACCCTCCCCTTCCAGGGGTACGACGACTATCCCTACTCACTCGTACAGTATCATGGCACCTCACATCTTGTCATAGCTAGCCTGCCAACCGTGGGACGCCTGTCGTGTCACGTCTACTGGATTTATTCGAGTTCTTACAGCAGTGGCACATAGAGAAGAGAATCTCCCTGGCATAAATTAGTAGATGTTTGCACCTTTTTTCCTTCTCTCCATACGCCCCTCTTACTATTCTAGACCAATACTTTATTAAAGTTGTTGGGGCCGGTTCGTTGTTGGACTTGGTCGTGGTGAGGGTCGACTCCGGAAGTTCGGCACCGTGCTGTAGATTATGATAACACACAAGTGCAGAAGATTGAGGGGCGGCAGCATTCCCTACCAAAAGGGCAGGGGTATTCGGGGTGATCATCACCCGCCTAAAAATATCCAAATTCAAGACACTGTGCAGATGCTTCAATTATTTCCGGGAATTGTCGACTCTGGATTGGCTACGAAGAATATCCCGAGAACACGGCAACGACAAATGGAAGGCGTAAGCCAGAGCCGAAAATAACTCGATTTTCTACGGGTTTGTTGCGAGAATGAAAATTCCCTCCACTTATATACGGTAGGCTCTACGAGTAAATTCTCACTTGCGGCTTCTAGTGAGTGTACGAGCACGGTAGCCTCAAAACGGCTGGTCTGAGCTCCCGAATATCTGTAAGGTTGGATCACTTGCAGGACAAGGTAATCCTCCGAACAAATCATCCCGAGTTTCCGATTATTTAATGACCCCCCCGAATACAAGCACTTGGTCAGCGGGCAAAACAGACTAGCTTTACTTGTGCAAAGATCCCGTTACCCCCTAGAAACACGTCAAATTGCTGGGCTTGCGCTTTCTTTTTTCATCGCTTTGCTTTTTTTCAGCCAGAGATCGATGATCGCACGCCATGAACTGGAACGCCAATCACGTCGCGGACCGTTGAGCACTTCGAATGGTACGGTATCTTGGGGGGGAAGAAAGACGAATATTGTATTGCTCTATCAGAGAGCGATTGAGTTAAAACCTTTTATAAAAACAACAATGAAAGAAGGGACACAAAAGAAAGACTAAGTCCCAATCGATGATAACCGAGTCCTTGCTATTATACCGCCCACGTAATTTTATTTACCCGCGTTTTTCTTTTATAAAGCCAAAGCAACAGCAAGGACACCCGCAGCACCAAGAACACTTCCGACGAGGGTATTCTTCCCGGCGGCATTGGGAGAGGTGGTGGCAGAAGCCGACCCGGTTTTGCTGGGGGATGATTCGGTACCGCTGGACGCGACCTCGGCCGCAGCACCACTCAGAGCGGAAGCGAGTGCAGAGCGAGCAGAGGAGTCAACATTGGACGGGAGATTGGCGATGTAACTGCTAGCGGCGGCGGGGCCTGCGGTGATGGCACTCTGGAAGCCGGATGCGATGGAGGAGTACCCGCTGTAGGTCTGGAACTTGCTCAGTTCGCTTTGGGCCTTCGAGGCAATTGACGCGATGTTGGTGATGTCTCCTACCAGGCTGGAGACGCGGGAGCCAATGGATGAACGGATGGACGAGGGTGCCCCGGTGACCCGGCTGAGGCCCGAGTTGACATCACCAATTACGCTGGTGGCAGCGCCGGCGCGGGATGTAACCTCGTTATTGATGTCGATGAGACTGTGAGGAAGTATTAGATATCACGTCCTCGATGCCTTCGTGTTAAGGAAGGAGGGAAAACATACTCGGCGGCATGAGCAACGCTAGCGGTCAATAAAGCAACGATGAGAAATCTGAATTGCATGATTGGAGTGGTGGAATTTTGAACGAATTGGAGTGAGTGTTGATGGGTAGGAAAGTTAGGTAGATAGGATTGACAAGAAAAAAGATACCGCTGATAGCGAGTGTGTAGAGGAGTGAAAGGGTATGTGAAAGACCACGAGAAAGTGGTGATAGGGGGGCTACTTTATAACAAACCCCTCGCGGGGACCACTTGTCCTCCCCTCCTCCTAGCCACGCTATGCTTACGGCAATCACCACCCCCGAAGAGCCCATGTCTGACTAGCCCTGTCCCTTCTGTCCCGTTTGGAGCTTCAGTTATGATACCACAGCCAGCTGGAAGAGCAGTGAGGCAGGGCTGCGTTCGAGTGCTCACGGTGGAAACAAGTACGAGTAGCGCATCCACTCTAGTCCCAAGCCCAACCCCAACTCACGAATGCGGGCAGAGTTGCCCACACTTCTACACTGTGGCTGGTGAGAGGGACGCGTACGTCTCCTGCTCGGGCATTGCGATACGGTAATTTCACTCCTCCACCCAGTACAATGATTTTGCACGGTACTGTACAAGTATCCCACCGATAAGCAAGTGAAAAAAAGAAAAGCTTGTTTGATAAGGGCGTTTCCAGCTGCTACCCACTCCCATCTATCCATACGAACACATATATGCACTTATTCAGTCTTGTTCATGCTGTCATCCTTCCCTGATCAGCTAACTAGTACCGGTGCCCGAACAGGTTTGCCTGTCTCTGGGTCGCGCCCTTGGGTTTACTGACCGACTGGACGGTACGGTGTACCGTATACCATATGTGGGTGGGATAGCATGCTTTTAGTGTGGGATACGATACTGTACCGCACCCACGGAACAAATTTCCCAGCTGTGTTTTTTTCTTTCATAAATCGCTCTCCGGCCTTCGGTGCCGGGGTTGGCTTAGCAGCGGTCCGTCGTGCGAGAGTCTGGGAGTGAGGGAACGAGCGAGAGTTTGCATTGCCGTGATTTCATGATACCATTTTTAGGAGGGATTGGGTTTTTGTGGCTGTAGGAGCGACGAATTGGGATGCACTGCCTCTTGCTCGCCGGGGGGTGAGGTGGAGTTATGGTTGTTTATCGCACTATACTCGAGTAGTATAGTATCCGATGGGACTGCAGTGTGAATGCGGTAGTTTATGATAGAGTTTGCGGAGTAAGGCAGGAAGAGGTACAGTACCGTGTATTCCACGACAGTGTCCCTAGTACCGTAGGCTATCATACATGGACTGGTATGATGGGTATCACATTTGCCCCCATCGTCTCTGCTTCCTACAATACCATTCTCCAAATTATTACTTCCACTTCCGGCATCTGTGCACCGCTTGATTGCAGGCACGACGGGGTCCTTCGCAATAAGCCCGCGTTTGGGCGACTTATCAGCGGAGGCTCAGCTTTGCACGTGCGCGCGGGAAATCTGTGGATTTGGAATTCCCAAACCGGTGTGATAACTCGTAATTCCCATCACAACGGACCCATTCATGATTCAGCTGCGCCTCTCGGATATCCGGCAAATATTGCAAGTTTCATGATAGCACCAGTAAATTAACGGCGCTGTCTCCATGGTGAATATCATACGCGCTGCAAGTACTCCAGTAGTCGAGGAGTGGCACGGAAGAATCACATTGCTCTTGCGGGAACGGGTTAATTCAAGAAGCATATATCATAACCCCCTCCATTCATCCGCCAAACTAGATCTTGTCCGTTCATCTTTCCGACGAGCCCCGTGATCAACTCTTTTCTTGTCCTGTGAATTTTACGAGCGAATTGGAGAATTTCTGTTCCACTGCGCATCCGTTCGTGTTTTGGTCAGACCGGATCGGACAAAATATTTCAACTCTCTGCTTCATGTCGGAGACACAATATAGAGTGTAGGTGCGGAAGGCAGGACTTACGAGCACGAAAATCAAACTTAATCCTCGACTGCCCTTCGGTAAACGCCCCGCACTCGCAAACGATTAGTCGCCATGGATCGATCATCTCAACAATCTCAGCTCCACTCAACGGTCTCATTAACTCGGATCGTGAGTCCTCGCAGGTCACTTTTTTTCGACAATCGTCAGCCCTACAGCCTCGGAACGCCACCGATGCGAAGCGAGGGAAAAAGAAAGGAAAAAAAAAATGGCAACCTGGGGGGACAGAGAGAACCTTCTTGACAATAATAGCAACTTCCGTTTAGGCTACGAATTAGAATTCGTTTTCGGCTTGCCGCTGATGGCTTTTCATCCTTGGTGAGGAGGACTTCGGCGTCGAGGATGCTGCGCGAGGATATTATTACGTCGCCGACGTACATCTGTAGCAGAACCCGTTCGTGGGGGAGTGGGCGGAGGAGGGTTTGGATGTATAGCTCCTGCTTCATTTCTCCCAGTTTTGTGCGCAGGTTTTTCGCCGCTGGGGGTTGTTAAGTTTGGCATTTCAATTACGCCGAGTGTGTGCGGGTGAGGGAGGTTACCTCCTGGCCGGGAAAGTCTTATTTCAACGTTCCCGGTTATAGACTCCCCGTGTGTACTGAATCCTCTTATATTTTTTATTAGTGCTCGGCGGGGTATGCCTTCTACTTCTTCTACTGCTGTGTTGTGGGTGACTGCTCCGTGTCAGCCGGGATCGACAGTCTTGTAGGAAAACGCTCACAGTGTATATACACTCTGTGTTGCTCGGTTGCCGGGGCAAGATATACTAATAATTCCCCCTTGTCGGCATGTTCAAAAAAGTCGACCGAGGTCTTCACGTCCCCTTCCCCTTGCAGCCATCCTGTTGAAACACTCTTGTAGCTTAATATTTGTACTGCTGCAACTTCGTATTGCGTTGCCACTGGTTCGGGATTGGCGGTACTAGCGTCGGGGGTGTAGGTTATTGACCGGAGGTGCTTTTGGAAAGTCGAGTTATCACTACAGGATACTTAGCAAAATTATGGTTTGCCAGAAAAAAGGGTACTACGCTATGCAGTCGAGCAACACTGCGCGATAAGGTTTCTCGTCTGTCTTGAAATATATAAACATCGAGGTTGTTTTTTGGAATATCATGTAACGGGTAGCATATATGTTCAGCCTGTTTAAGAATTTCCTTTCGAACTTGGACATATCTTGCGGCCTTTGGTTAGCCAAGCCCGATAGCTAGTAGCGGGAGAGAGAAACAAACGATGCGCCTTAACTCCTCGAATGGTGATTTTTTGATGAGCTCCTCCTGCTTGGCTATACGTGATAGGGTAGATCCACCATTGTCTCCTGGGGCCGCAGAGCCTGGTTGCGAAGCTCATTGGGAGTACTAGGGCACCGTCAGCACTTGATCTCGACAGCGTTACTGCCAGCTGATATAAAACAAACAGTGTAAATCCCCTAATTGATCACCGTGAGGACCAAGCACCTCGTTCCTAACACCAAACTGAACCACTGACGACTCTATCACCGCACACAAGCACACAAACGTCCTGACTCTCTTGTTAACTGGGCTCTGCTGGCCAGGCATCCACCCCAAACCCACAGCCGCTCTGGAGCAAATAACTTTCGACCCTCCGTCCTCGGTGTCCAGACATATTTCAAAAATAGGCTTGTTCTGGTACCCCTTCTTCGAGGAGCCGGTTTCTAGCGGCGAGCCACTGTCCGGGATGATGCTTCCGACCTCTCTGCCACCAGGGATGTAGTTTATGAAATTGCCGGTTTGGTGCAAGACTAATTTTTCCATATCCGGGATTGGGTTCGTGCTTGTCGGGGGTTTTTCCATGAGGACTTTCAGGTCGAGTCGTATGCGTTCAAGGGTTGTTTGTGTTTCCTCGCCCTGGCGAGAGCTCTTTTTGCTATGGTGGTATTAGGACACGTCTAGTCGAGAACCTGAAAGCGTGGGATACCTCTGTAAAGTGCTAACAACAAGTGTGATAGCAGCAACATGCAGCGTTAGTTTCTCCCGGAGAGTGCTCAGGTCCCCATCACCAGTGGTCCAAACTACCCTCTTCCAATTATCCTTAAGCTTCTTGCTCCACTTCCTCTTCTGCAGTTCTACCTTTCCCCCACCATCCTCAGCCCTAACCGCTCCAGCCTTTCTCCCATCCCCCATGGCAGGGCAGTACTCTTGCACAATCTTCTCTAGACCTTCCAGTGTCGTGCGGCAATTAGCAATCATCACGCCGAGACACTCGACAGCTTCGTTGTCGGCCTCGGGAGAAGTGACAGGGTTAGCACCGCTGACCGTGACCTCCTCCTTGAGCATGTCCAAAGCCTCTTTGAGCACGAATACCTGACTCTCAACCTCATTGAATTCGCACGGTGCGGATTTCCTGCCTGAAGTGAAAGCTAACCCGACACGGTATGCGATTTGGCTGAGGAGGAGGATGTCCCCAATGGAAACGGGCATTGCCATGTTTGGTGGCCGTCTGCAGTTGCTATCGTTATTGTGGTTACTGCGGCGTTACTGTCGTGGAAAGCTTCTGTGCTGCTATGATGGGATGAGTCGAAGAGATGGGTGTTGTGGACGATAAACAAGGCTGCGGGATAAGGTGTGACGAAAGCGGCTAGCCGAGCAAGGTCTTCGTACAGCCTTGCGGACGTGATTCGAGATGGTCCTCCCTGGCGATGGATGTTACCGTACTCGGACTGGGGTTGCGATGAGACGGGCAGGGGTTCACGATGTCAAAGCTTCTTACCCCTCCTGGCATCACACCTACTGAATTAAATCATTTTTTCAGTATGAGCCGGAAACAACAACCTGCTTGTCAAACGTACTTGTACTACCAGTATGGCGTGGACGTAAGTGATGAGACGGACAGGGCTCGACGATGTCAAAGCTTTCCTACCATTCCTGGCATCGCATCCACCAAATTAAATGTTTTCCTCTGGAGGTAACTACCTTAGGCCCGGACTCAAAAAACCCGTCCAACCCATCACTTACGTCCATACCCGAGTACGTGTGGGGCAGTTGGGGCTTCTCGCAGCGTAACAATAAGCTACATCCCATGAAAGGCTCGGTTAGAGCAATACCCAATAATGAATGAAATTGTTTACAGTAAGGGGCAGGATGCCTACCGTAAAAAGCGAAATAATTGGGAATGGCGCTAGGAGGTCACTTTAAGGTCAGTTATGCCAAGGATATGGCAAAATATCAGTTTCCAATTATGCTAACAGACATCCTCAGAGAATACACCTTCATCATCATCAACCTCATCCAACTCTACAAAATCATCCTCAGATTCAATTGCTGGAGTTCCTCCTCTTCCCCAATCCTTTAGCCCTTCTATTAAGTAAGTTTTATCTAGTCCCTTAATACTAATTTCCTCATAACTATTACCATTAACGGGCAAGGCTAACCCGACTACAGAAAAAGACTTTCAGATCAAGATCTTCCATGCTTTCCCAACTTCCCAAGGGGTGAGAATTCTCTGTCTCCTCATCATACTGTCCTGCAACAGACCTGTAGCAGTAAGAATCTCGTAGGATTAGGTGTTGTGGTAAGTGTGGAGGTGGGAGCAAAAGTAGCGGTCGACAACTAAAGATTTGGAGTATTCATCAGCAAAAATAAATACCTGCTTCCTGTGTATCCTATGCATCAGACACTCCAGATTCTCTTAATGTAAACTCCCAGTCTAGATGTATTTGTACGGACATATTGTGTCCGGATGCAGCCCATATTTCTGGACATATGGGATGTACCCCAATATGCCATATTAGCCACCTACTCCATGAGCATGGGTTACCTACACTGCACCACTCCAGGCACTTCCAGACTCCTGGTGCCCCTCACCTAATGTGTTTTGAGTATCATGACTTTCCTAGCACGACCTATTAAGGTTTCTCACGAATGCTATTGCTTGAGGCGGGAAGTTTTATCTGCATAACAATACAGTTACCTCCAGTGGATGTATAAAAAGCTGAAGTGGTATTAGAAGATTGTAGATGTTACGCACTGGCTACCACGATATCGGAGGTGTATGGAAGGTGGCCCAGTATCCTCAGTAATTTACCAGGATTACGTCTTTTTGTCACGACACCTCCCATACACTCCTGACATCCTGGTATCCAGTACCTGATGTCTACTGTCCTCTGTTACTGTTGTAGCTTTTTTTGTGTCTACTGTAAGTTTTTGCATAGTCCCCCTGGATTCAGTGGATGGCCCATAGGCTGTTTCCAGACCTAGTTTGTCGCTAGAAGACCTACAACTTCCATAGCGATTACTATCCTCCATCAGATAACTCCTGCTGTTAGGAATACCAGGATCCGATACCTAGGAATCACCCTAAGTAGGGTAACCCCACACGAATTAGAATTCATACTTTCCAACACTCCTCTCCAGGACCCTTACGGGCGTACACCTCATCATACATATCAAGCTCTGCTATGTCCAGTGACTGTAATGCTACAAAGTTGTAGGTAGAGGAATAACACCGTTTACATTGCTGCCGTCTCTCCGACAGGATGTATTGGTAGGATAATCAGGGGCAGTAGAAGGTGATCTATGCATGTAG